GCGGCGGACGAACCTTTGCAGGTCTCGAATGTAAACTCACGACCACGCGAACTGATTTGTCGGTTTAGCGATGCCACTCGAGTCGACAGAAGCGAAGAAAGAAGAACAGCGATTTGCATGCCGCGTTTTTGTTCCGAACACGTGCAGTCGTTTCAATCTCTGGCAAGATGAGAGAGAAGGATGGAAAATCCCACTGACCTACTTCCGTCGCATCCAAGTGAAGTTCTCGCGGAATGTTGAGAGAATAAGAACCACAGCCATGTCATGAATATACTTCGACTAATAAATTCTATTCAGACCGAGTGATCGCGAATGTTTCTTCCTTTGCGTTGCAGCGATACGACCGTGGAGAATCTTAAAGCGATTCCACCCGATGAATAGCGTCGAAGCTACGAGAAGTTTTCGTGTTAGACATAGTCCAATGAGCACCCTGTTCTTCTGAGAAATCATGTTCGATGGGTCTTCGAACTTCGTCCTACTAACTCGTGCTAGTATGGATAGTTTCTTTGATAAGTACTTGGTAGAATTTTACTATAGATGGCAATCGTCAGGGTTTTATGTGAATTTAAGAAGCAGTCATTTATTTCATTCCTAGTTATGTTAAGCGACGAGTGGTATTGTGAGATATAAAATTAGAAAATATATGACTATGAAAAGATATAAATTATCGTCACGTTTCATAAACAAAACGTAAGATAAATTGGAATAATTTAATATAAGGAAATATAATACCAATAATAAAGGTAAACATTGAAATGACCAAGCAGTAGCTATGCTAATCAATTTACAAATCGAACATACAAAAGGAGCAAATTACATCATAATTAAAGGAAATTAATTAATTAATTACCAACGAATCACCGGAATTCTTATAACTGTGAAATAGCTTTCGATATTTACCACATGGTAAACAAATCGAGCACGATATTAATTGAATATGTTCCAAGGGAATATAGCATTATTCGAATAAAGTAATAATAAACGAAATACTGTAAATAACTTTTCCACTCGGTTATCGTAGTGACACGTTTTCCCTAGTAGTTGGACAAAATCATCTGCTACGTTTACAAGTACTCGAGATACTCGTAAGTATCTGGTCGGATCACGGGGGAACTCTTTTGCCTGTGATTGCTTCTCTTATTTGGCCTCGAACGCCATATTTCCCGGCATCCTTTTCTTCCTCGGCCGTATATATCTGGAGTTTCTATTTCGTTCGAAATCACCCTCCATTTCCAGCGAATAGCCGTATTCGGGGCAGGCATGTACATCGTTGGAGAATCGTCTAACGCAATTTACCGTCTGGTCCATGGGACAATCGTCAATCGCTACGATTTCATCTATCCCTCTTTCTCCCATCTTCCCTACTTATCGTCCCGTCTCTGTCGGTACCTCTGTCCAGTCTCTCTGCCATGTGACAGCCAGAAAGCGTGTTCACGCGGAACACTGGTATAGGTATCGCGTCATTGTGAACGGTGCTTTATTTAGGTCGAGTGTCAACAACGAAGCGTGCAAGTACTCTTTGTGGACTCCTCAACAAATAGCACCCGTAAGTACAAAAGCGTTCCACCGTACGATACCGGGATCAACGATACAGAACCGATGATAGATCGATCGAGCACCGTTGAAATTCCATCATCCACTGTCCCTTCCAACCATCTTCTCCCTGCTTGCTCGACGAAATTAATCTGGAAACGGCCGATCTGTGTACAGTCAACCGTGTTTGTGCCTATCAACTGGACGCTGTACCATTTCAATGATGTAGCGATTAATACTTGAGCTGCTAGGCTTAAAATGTTACTCCACGTCACTTCGTTGTTACTTGTGTACCGTGCAATGTTTTTAAATGAAATACCGAGTTCGTATGAGTTAAAGAAAATTGAAGATGTGCAAATTTACTTAGAAACCCTTTAATCAGCAGTCATTTCGAAAATTCTATTTTGTTTCGTTAATTTTATGTAAATTTTAGCTTAAATTGAAAGGCCATATCTCATTCGGATAATAATTTTGGTATTTTCACATTTATATAAGATTTCATGATCCTGAAATTTCACTATTTTCGCAGTTATATAAGGGCGACCGTGAGTATTTGAATCTAAAATAGCTTCCGTGTTTATACATACGAGCGTAATATCTACGAGCACCTTGTATACTTCTCTCTATACTAAAATTGCTATAATTGCGAGTAAATATTTGACTGTACCTCGCCATATTCTCGTATTCTGATTACACCGAAACTTTGACCACGTTGAAGATGTACATAGCAAGACAGACTCATTGCCGAAAATTCTGCGATCGCAGCGCCACTCGAAAGGAGTGGCTTCATATTTCGTTCGTGCCGATATTGGCTACAGTGGCGCTGTACTATAGCAGATTATTCAGTGTCACGGGAAGATTAATGTCCCAGGCAGATTCGTATCAATGAAGCGAAAACAAAAGGTACTCGTGTTCACTTCAAACTCATGCATAGAAATCTTTCAATATCTTACGCCTACAAGTTACGTCTTTGTCATATTCCTACGCACGTCCGAACCGATATATTTCCATGAATATCAATATCATCATCCCAGCTTACCGAAAATCCTTTGTCATCGAAAACCTGGGGAACCGATAAATTCCTCCGTGTTTCGTGCCTTCCGATGAGTTAAGGGACAAATCAGGAGGGGCTGACGTCCCGTTTATACGTACAGTTCGCTTCAGCGAAAGCACTCGGAGTCACTAATTAGAATCTGAAGGGGACGGGTACACCTTTCGGGAAGTACGAGGCTAGGGAACCCTATTGGACGGCCAATACGTGATTTCAGTCCGCGTGGACGGCCGCGGCGTGGCGCGTCGCGTCGTCCAGCCAGTTCAGCTTTCATCTGCGGTTAACCTAGGTTAAAGCGCTTCGCGTATATTCCTCATATCGATCGAGCCGTTGGCGGCGCTGCGCCGCTTTTCCTATAGCCCCGATGAGTGATCTCGTAGAGGAAATGCGGAACAAAAATGAAAGGAAGGGTAAAATCTGTAGCCGAAATGGGACGCGAATGAAGCGAACCGGACGAAAGTGAGAATCAGCTAGCGAGCAATGGGTGGTAGGGGAAAGAATAATATAGAAAAATCCTTTATCTACCATTTTTTTCCACTTACTCTTTACTTCGTTTTTTATCCTTTTTAGGAGCCAAGCGTATCCCCGATAATGAAGAATAATTGGGAAATTCCAGACGGGTGACTGGAATAATTGTGTATGGTCGAAAAGATATGAAACAGAGATTAGAAGTTGATAATGGAAGTTGAACTAAATGTCCAAGATATTAGGGTTTTATAATTGCTCGAGAGCTTATTAGTTCTAATCCTATAGGCACGTGGTAAATTAATATCGATATGGAAAACAATTTCGAAACTGTTCTCTTAAACCAGGATGAACGTGCCCAGCTTTACCTGTAACTCGTGTGAACGAATTCTACGCAGTTATATCGCGTAACAATCAATTAAACGACATCTAATTAAAGTATAAAATTCAAGGAAAAGAACATTTTAGAGCATGGAAGATAATTACCAAATTTTTTACAGAACCTACACAAACACAGTAGATTAGTCTGCATAACCTCTATCACCTGACCGTCTATCACCTGAAGGAAAACAAAATTTGGACCATTAATCATCATCGAAATGTACAATCAGAAATGAAATAACTGCAATTGCAGGTATTCCTCAAACAATCCTGTACCTTAAGAGGCTAGTGCCCTAACAAAGCAGAGCCATCTGGTGGTAGGCTCGCATAAAGAACAGAGAAACCAAAAGTCTCGTTTCAAGACTAATCCCAAAGATGTACAGGATATCGAGGAAGCTATACGAAGAATTGAGGACATTGTTCGGTGAACAAATGCATAAAAATACTTAAGATCAACTGATTATTGAGTCCACAAGATCAAAAGTGTTTTTGCTCGAATCGTTGTCTATTACTACCCTCCTTCCTGACACGATAAAAACACGGGCGCGTGAAAATGAAGAGGAAAGATAAAGGGCAGATTGTTTGAAAAGAGGATCGACCAAGCACGATGCCGAGCGACCGATCACTGGAAGAAAGCAGAGCGAAAGGTTATCGCCAGGCACATAACTGTCGTCTCTGGTATCATCTGCTGCACAAAGCCGTAGAGTATCGTGCCCGGTTATTTCGGTCAATCCTCGGAGAGGAGGCCGTCCGGAAAATATTCACATCGATCTATATCCAGTGACCTCTCTTCAGTTCCCCATCTTCCCCACCCTGATATACGCTCGTACATGTACACGCATTGCTTGCACACAACCGTACAGATTCGTTCACCCTAGTCCAAACTCTTTTTTCTACCACACCTCAGTAAGTTCCTCTCTCCCTTTTTCTTCCTCGATCCTTCTCTTTTACATCATGTCTTCTTCCTCTGTCGCCTATACTCTTGTCAACCTTCCTCCACGGGCTACTCTTCCCGTGTCTCTTTTTCTCTTTGATAGTACACGCGAGACAGGATATTCTATATGAGCCAGCTCAAAGTGCTCTTTCGAACCGCGCACAAGAGCCAAGTCAACCGCATCGCACTTTGGTTCCGCGAAAAGGTTACAAAATGGATCAGCGCACAGAATTGACTATAAATATCATGGCGTCCACGTGGTCGACACTTCTTAATACGATAAATACGATTTTCAACAACTTTTCTCAAACGATGTACACGTGTGTTCTGTTTCGATGGAACTAGTCGAACAGAGAACGTCCAAGAATGAAACATAGGTACTCGTGAAATGTCATGTCCGCGTGTAATACTTATCTCTTATCACATAGGTGAAGAAGCACAACCAAAGAATCCAGGAATAAGTTTCTTTACATATTAAAAAATTTCGTAAGATTATTAAGCTATTTTCTGAACTGCACAAATTATTTTAAACATGAATCACTTTCGCTACAGTTTTTAAAGGAATTGTTTAAAAATCATGTTACAAATGAGAGGAACTATTTTAATTACAATGGAATCCTTCGTTATATTTTTCAGAACCAAAAACCGAAGTCCTGGGTGAACCAGACGTATACATTAATCGAGGTAGCACGATCAACCTGACGTGTATTCTCGTTAGTCCAGAGCCACCAGCCTTCATAATCTGGAATCATAACGATGCCGTAAGTATCTTTCTTCTCGATAAAAGATAAATAATAAGCATTCAACGAGAAAATGTTCATAATTTATAAATAAGTATAAACACGAAAAACGCAATGAAATTGTAATTTACGATGGAGTTCTCGTACGAACTTTATTCGAGTATAATTGATGACCATAGTTCTTGAGAATCTCGCTGCTGTGTGAAATCTTGAAATTTACGATCTGTGTTCTCACGGAAGCATCGAGTGAGTTCTCAGTTTCCGCTTTAATGAAGTTGCTTCGAAATTCGTCATTTCAAGTCCGTCTCTGGCTCGGAATTACTTTGCTTCTACGCGATTTTTTCCTTTCTGTTAACCCATTCTCCAATTCTGATCCAGTCCAGTGCAAATTGTTAAATATTATCACTACTTTTGGAACGTAAGTTTAGAACGTACCAACTATCAGTTGAACATATTTAAAATACAAAATTTGTTAAGATATGTCGTGAATTACTTAAAATGGGTTACTTAAGGTTCGATGTTTCATTGTTCTTCAAAGTTGTAAAGTTGTTTGGTACATAATTACCAAATTTATATTGTTGCATTGGTGTGTCCAAACAATTTCTGAAAAAAGAGTTTTAAAGAAATGAATATAAATATTTTACAAAAATATCGATGCAATTTAAATTCAAAAATTGGTACACGTTACCTAAAAGAAGGGTGCACATTAAACAAGAGATAATTTAAAGCAGGATTTTTGGTATATATATCTAGAGAGAGACACAAATGGAACTTTCTAACTAAACCTGGATAAGATGGGTAATTAAGAAAAGGTACTAAGATTACAGAGATTTCGACTCCCAGCATGAACTGAACGTATTGTGAAGCATGGCAAAGACTAATCCCCTTTGAATCAGTCTCCAATTCTGTGTATTACGGTTGCAAATGGTATCGTTAGTTCCCGACATCTGTTTCCGAGTTTAGCAATCCAAAATACATCTTCAGGTTACTTATCTCAAAAACTCAAAATGTTGTTACGCAATTGTTCCATTATAAAATTACGAATCATCTATGCACAGTGTATAACTTACGACACGAACCGCAACATTCACCAGACCCACAATTTCAAGTAAAAGAGTTACACCTATGTAAATGATGTTACACCTATGTAAATGATTTCCCAATATAGACGCAAGATTTGAATTTCGCGCCATTTGTGCGATAAAGTGTTACCAACAAAGAGAAACATGCAGCCTAACAGCTGACAGTTCAGTGATATCGAAAATGATGCGCTGCATGATGAAACAACACATTTTCATTATTGAGCAATATTCCAATGATAATGAAAGTTTCTTCGTTTTCTATCAAAATTATTTTTTGCGTGAATTTTGGACACCCATTACATGCATTAATTTCGAATGAAGGATCTACATCTGTACATAAAAGTAAAAATTCGACGTCAAACGTTAAAATGGTCCTTAAATTCCTCTACCACGTTCAATGCACACGATCCCTCGATACGAAGTCCATAAATCTCGTGCGGCCATTACAAGACGAGAGCAACCAAAATGGCGCCCGTCAAACTCACGACTTTACCCGAATGTAGCGGTTCGTCGTACGACAGAGAGAGATGAGACGAAGTTTCGTGGGGAGAACGAGTGAAGGAAAGTTTCGTAACACGTCGCACTGGGGCGCAAACCGATAAGGAAGGGAACGCGAATCGTCCCAGAGGAGAACCGGGCGAAATTGCAATCCTTAGATGATAAGGTCGATTGTATCGATCGATCTGCGTCACGAAACATTTCCCGTCCGCAAGGAATCATCGGTGCTGGGGTTTCCTCTTACGCTTCAGTAAACCTCATCCCTTTGATTTCGATTGAATTTCGAGACAGCGTCTCTCTGTTTCGACCACGTGCGAGCGAGGAACGTGTGTTTTCTACCGGTTTACCGCGTGTACCTGCGGATTTGTCCTCGCTACGTCGGGAATCCGGTATACATGTGCGACCACATTCATTCCGCGTGTCTCCTGGTCCCTTTGCGCGTGTGTACGTATACGTTTGTAAATAGAGAAAACCGAGCTGGTCGCAATTAAATTGACTTAACAATTTGTCGGTTGCCTTTTCACTCTGTCTCGTCTATCTTTCGAGCGCGGGTCTAACGTCTATTTTCTCTAGCGTCCGATCGGTACTCCAATGTTGTAGATGAGCAGTTCTCTGTTTTCCTTCCTTTCTTCGTTCTCCCCTTTTTTGTTTTCTAACAACCAACGTGTGTTCATTAACCAACGCTGACCGCGGTACAGGCTGTTTGTTTAACTTAATTAAAACGGATGATCGAGAAATGATTATCGACCGAGGTACCGTAAATGGAGAAAATTAGAAGCTATAGTTTCATGGTAGACGTAACAGACTATAGCTACTGATTCTGTTTAACGGTGACAGTGAGATAGATGTGAAACTTTGTTGTGACTTTGTAATTTAGGTTAACTCAGCTTGTATGTGAAAAGTGGGTATATTTGTATAAAACGAGTAATTGAAGTTAATTATTCTTATTGTTCAATTGGTCTAAATTACCTGTCTCGATATCAACCGTATTAACGTTTATGCTCACTTTTTGGATCAATATTAATTTATCTCTATTGATCCTTATATTAAAATTCATTTATGACACATTGAGATATTTAACAATAGAAAGAGTGAATTGAGTTTGCGTATTATTTAAATATATTCGTTCTGAAGGGTGTATTCTTATTCTATAGACTCCTGAGAAACTTCTTACAAGGTAACTAATAAGGGATAACAGAAACGCAGTGTACCAATTCACTTATACACCCATGTATTCTTCAATATATCAGTAATAACAGAAGAGAAGAATGGGAGGAAAATGCAATCGTGGAACTGTTACATACTATCTTTGTATTTACAACGAGATTCTACTAGCAATCAGGAGAATGTATATTATCTCGTTTGCTGGCAGTGCACTTGTACTTTATTGAGAAGTTTACTTGTGTAGTCAATGAAATTGAAGAAAATTGTATTGCTCAGGATAGACCTGGGTCACTAGTTTGTCCCCGCTTTAAATTTCGCGTTTGTAGATATTCTGTTCCAACGGCGTGTTATTTACCGATTTGTCTGGTTACATTTCATTACGTGATATTCCAGGTCAACTTGTTTTTTGCAAATATCGAGAAGTATATCGTCGAAGAAAGATGACATAGATCTGAAGTAGCTAGGAAAAATCGTCATGCTAGAAATATTTTGACCGGTAAATTTATAGCTTTGAATATAGAAATATTTTTTAGAAGGAATATTTATTATTTCATTTTCTCGTATCAAAATCGGCACGAACGACAACGGAATATTAAATTTATTGTCTGAGAACTCGTGCTAATTTTTATTAGCACTGATAGTACCAATTGATTTGGTACGTCTTAATCGGCTTATCCGAATGAAATCCTATTAAGCAATGGTTAAACGAAATACAACATCTCTACTTATTTATGCGGCGATCGTGGAAGATTGCCAAAAGGACAGGGCAAAGACGTTGCCAAATCGGTTTCTATAGTATTACGACGACAGAAATAAAAGCGCATTCCCCGGATTTGTAACTCCCATTTGTTCGCAATAACGGGAACTGTTAACCGATCTTGTTCGATACGATTTAACGCTTTGCACTCCTGTCGGCTTGTCGTTCTTGTCAAGCGTCCTTTATTCCTCAAAATCCAACGATCGTTCCATAAATCAGAGGAATTTTGAAGAAACTTTCCGTAGAAATGTAACGATAGATTAGCGTGAACGATAAAATCGTGAAAGATTAAAACAGTAAAACGTGTTCCAGAAACGCAATTACAAGCTGGACCATTCCAACGAATGCCAAACCATTACGTCGATTGCAGGTACAAACGGCCCACGAAGTAATACAAACTTTCCGTTTGTCTGTAATCGATTTCTGTTAATCGTTTAAGTTTCATTACCTCGCTGCGACGAACTTCGCGAAACTTAGGCTGACGCAACGAAAGTTCGAACCCCATTCGATTTCGACTTGTAACTTTTATCGGTTGGTTTTACCACGTTCGAAACTTCTCGAATCATCTTAAATATGGGTCGTGTCTGCATTTAACGAAATACATAGTATAATGGTTCCTGGAGGCGTTCGAACGCTATACATGTAGGGATATACTTTTGATTGGCGAATATAAGGAATAGGAGATATTGCTTAATTCCAATATATATTTTATTACGAGCTGAAAGAGACTGAGGAGTAAAGTACAAACTAAAAGATTAGACTAATAACTGAACTATGATCACGCAACTCACACTGGCACGTCGACTCTTCAAACTCCGTAAAGGACTCTCTGTAAACGACCCAAAACAACTGTCCTAGGACAGTCCTTGCACCCCCATTTAAATCTTGCACTCTGTCTTCTTTCATACTCATGCTTTCTTTCTCGATCACGCATTTCCCATAGCCTCGCTCTTGGTGGGTCAGGTACCCTAAACACTCAGGCGCCTTTCGGTCTCTACTTGCATTCCATACAGTCATAAATATCCCGTTCATTCGATCCCTGCACACGGTCACTCGTCCTTGCACATGCTCTCCAGATGTTACTCTAAACATTTGGTCTGAACTTTAGGCTACCGTTTACTGCCCGTCATCAGCTATCAAGTGTTCCTTTGCTTAAGATTAGAGGATTCCTCTGAAATGCAGCGTTCGATCACTTCCACGTGCCATGATATATCGTCCTCGATTCCGGATTGTTCCTGGAAAATGGATATTCATGAACATTTGTACAGCACAGCTGAAGAATTTGAAGGAGAAGCAAACTTTTTACCTTCTTCGTGTCATACTGTACGAACATGCGATACGCCAGAAATTTCTCGAGCATGCGCACGAAGAGCGTGGACAAATGTAGCGTCTCGTCTCGCTTCCTCGATTTTTCTTCTTTATCTTCCGCCAACACTTATTTACACGACACGAGGGAAAGGGAAAAGGGGGAAGAGGAAAAAAAGGAACGTGAATGTTTGTCCTGTGACAGCGCACTTTCA